AGAAAATGGTCATTTGGAGGGGTTAAGGTTGAGTAGTGAGTTCTCGCACTCTCCTTTAGAGTAAGCTCTACCAATCTGTGAGAATGGCTTTCAAATCTCTCTCATTTTCTTCTTTTATCGTTACTTCTGTAATTCCTTGTTTATGTCCAATTAATGGTTTGTGGCCATCTGCAGGTGCCCAGGGATAAACAACATTACAAGTAAGTCATCACATTGAACAAAAATGATAGTTGCAAGCATGATCTAATGGCCTTTAGCGGGTACATACTGGCACTGCCAAAGGCATTGCTTATCTCCAAATGCAAAAAATGGACAATGTCTACAAGCTTCTCCATAACCTGTAATCCATTAGACTATTAATTATATTAAAGTTTTCTCAGTTCTCCATTTACATCATGCACAATATGAAAATAGCTCTATAAATAAAAAATAATTATCTATCATCTCTTTGGCATCATACATGTATCAGATATAATGACAGTCTAAAGGAGGATAAAACAACTAAGGAAGAGGATACTCAGGGATGAGATAAACAAATCAAGGAGCAATCTAAAGTTACCTCCTCCAAACTTTTAGACCAGAGTCTTTTTTCTCACCACCTATTAACAGCTCCAAGTCTTCCAATTCTCCTGTTATTAGATTTTGTGGCATTTCAATTTTAATCTGCTTCTTCTCTTCTTCATTTTGCAACATAGATAATCAACAATCCGTTTCTTTTAACATTTTATTGAATTTTGACAACAGAACACATTGAGGGTACTTGTATCACATGATTAGCATTTGCAGACATATTTTTCTCCTCTTCAAACTCTAGTTCTCCAAGTGTGAGTCATCAGAATCACTTCCGTAGTTCGACAAAGGCATCATAGCAAAAGTATAATATAAATCCAAGACACAAAGATAAATGAAGTAAAATAGGGAATTTATAATATGGTGTTGAAACTTGTTCTATAGTTTTATTTTATTTTGAGGGAAATGGTAGTTAAGTTAACAAAGGAATAATGGTGCTACCTGGAGATTTTATTTTACTGTTTTTCCTTGTAGAAAAGATGGTTTTTGTCTTCGAAATCTTAAGTGCAGCAACCGAAGCTACAACCATGAAGCTCACTTCGATTATCATGTAGTCTTGCACACAAGTTAGAACATGAACTGGGAATTTGGTGCATGTCACTAAACTGAATCTAGTGAATTCAATAGAGAAATTTTTTCTCATCTTAATTAAATGGTAATCTGAAGGTGGACAACGATGGTAGCATCTATGATTTGGTGACCTTGATGGCGTCGTGCCATGCCTGAAAATGTGAAGATGAACAGTTAAGAACAATAACAAACTTTAAAAATTGGGATTACAGTTCACAAATTGACTTGCATGCAAAAAGAGAAAGACGGATTCAAGAACAAAACACAAAAGGGAACGACCTAAATAGGATAATAAGGAAATCAATGACAAAAATGCAAGGAGGAGTAACAATATTCAAGTGTTTGGTTGCTGAGAAACAGAGAAAACAAAAGTGAAATAATGAGAGGGGGCAAATAAGAAAATTCAAGAGAAATAGGAGGTTGGGAAGAAGAAGAGAAATAATGAGAAGTAAGAAAATACAAAGACGATGGTAAATTTTAGAGAAATATGTGTTAATTTTTTACAAACCCACGTTATCATCGTTCTATAAACTTAATCACTGGCATTTATCTGTAACCGACTTAACTCAACCGCTAGCAAATCCTGTTTTTTCTGTAGTGTACGAATACTTGTATTTATACATGCAAAATCTCTCTAGCATTATTTAAATGTTGTTTTGGGATGTTTTATAAACTTGAAAATCTTAAAGATGCTAAAGACAAATTCTATTTTTTCTTTAGTGAGACGAACAAACTTTATGTGAAAAAGTTTTAATTATGAAGACTTAGAATCGTTATTCTTGGCAGCCTTCGTTACCTTCATTTTTGTCGTCAAGTTAATAGAAACGAAGTTGGCTGTTTACTTACTAACTAGACAAATTTGGTGAGCTATGATAGTTAAAATTTACCATTAAATTTCATGCATTTATTATTGTTGTCAAGCTAACTAAGTTGGTCGTTAATTTAATAGGTTGGGAATGATTGGTACATGGCATGTTCGGTGTAATTAGGGGTGTAAATGAGCTAGGCTGGGCTGGACTTTGATCTTCCTAGCCTAAGCCTACGTAAAAAAATATTCAGCCTATATGGCCTATTGGCCTACTAAAGACTTTATTTATAGGCCAAGTCTGACCTATTTTTAAAAATTAGATAGCCTTATATGGCCTACAGGCCTTGTAGGCCTCCCTAGTGAAATATTTTTAAAAATTTTAAAAATATTTTTAACAATTATTAAAATATTTGCTTGACATTAGAAGTCATTAACGTGTTCATAAATTGTTGAATTTTTTTACACGAGATATAAATTTCACCAGTCAGCATTAGAAATTTTACAATAGTAAAAAAAATAACTATAAAAATATATTGAGCAAAGTTCCATTCATGCATGCACTATCATAAAAAATGACAAACAAGAAAGAGTCAACATAATACCCCAGCTCTATAATGTATATCATATACCCTAAAATAAATATATAATATTATATTATTTTTAAAAATTAAATAGGCCAACCTACAAGGCTTTAGGCCAGACTTGACAAAATTGGCCTATGACCTACTTGTTAAAAATGTTTTCTTATAAGCCTAAGCCTACTCTACCTTTCAACGTAGGCCGGGCTAGGTCAGACTCAACGTAGGTCGAGCTGTAGGCCAGGCCAGACCAGCATGGCCCGTTTACACCCCTAGTGTACATGATAGGCCTATACATGATAATGTAAGACCTGATTGTATAAGGCCTGTTAAATTTTAATATTATCCCGCGTTTGACATGATGTATAATATAACATATTGTATAAGATAATACTATCAAATGCTTGGTAACACACTATATGATACTAGATAGGATAAAAACAAATTTTTTTGATAAAAATATTCTTTAATAAAGAATTTATATAATTCTTTCAAATACATATGATTTATTAATTTGTAATTTAACCTTGTTTAATATATAAAGCTAAAGTATTCCAAAGTTTAAAATTCATCGTATGTTATACATGTTAATAATAACTGAAGAAGAAGTCGAAGTCATCGTTAACAAAGAAAATGCAAAATGACTAGAAATTAAGCATGGGATGACTCTGACCAATAACCACCCTTTTTTCTTTTCTCTTCCCATATTCCAATTCTGATACGAACCTAACAATCACCAAACCATGACTATTCAAACATTGTCCGCTATGCTCCTCCGCTCCCTTGCCAGAGATTACCTTCCCCGTGAACTTCACTACTACCTCCACTCAAAACTCTCCAAAATCCTCACCACATTCTCCTCCCAAGTCACCCTCGTCATCGACGAGTTAGAAGCCCTCACCTTCAACCACCTCTTCAACGTCGTGGAACCGCACATTGCTCCCAACACAAACAGGTTCATGGCCACCATCAATAATAAGATTTCGGTGACCATGGAGCGCAACAAAGATATCATCGACATCTTCAACGGTGTGGAATTCAACTAGAAATTGGTCTCCAAAGAAATCCTATCAAAGTACATTCAAGCCAGGATCAGACAATTAGCACTCCACCTTGAAATTTGAGCTTCACTACTTTGAATTATGCTTTCATATGAAGTATAAGGACATGATTTTCATAGAGTACTTGCCCTATGTTATGGATAAAAGGGGAAGAAGAAGAAAATGGGTAGAAGGGTAAAAATGGGGAAGAAAAAGATGAGAAGGAATAAACCTAATACATCAACCTCTTATCAGGCTTAGGGCATGTTTGGTACATATTATAGGAAAATGTCTGATAGTATAAGGCATGGTTGTATAAGATCTGATTAAATTTTAATATCATCCAGCGTTTGACATGATATTGTATAAGATAGTATATTGTATAAGATAGTATATTGCATAAGATAATATCATCAAATGTTTGGTAATATATTGTATAATACTAGATAGGTTAAATACCTTTTAATAATGAATTTACATAATTCTTCCAAATATATCAGATAATATTATTTTTTATAGAAATATGTTGATTAGTGTGTCCAAAAAATATATTAATTTTATAAAAATAAAAATCTCCAATATTTTAAAAAATTATATATTGAAAAATTATTAGTATATTAAAACAAAATATTAATTCTTGAGAATTGCATTGGTTAACACATCAACCCCTTATCAGGCCTAATCTTACCCTCCCAGGCCTGATTAAGTTATACTATATGATGGTCACACCAAACAACTAAAAATGTCATAATGTATAATATAAGTTTATATTATTAGGCCTTATACATCACATCAAACAGGCCCTTAATCCCATCTCCCTAGGCCTGATTAAATTATACATTATTTTAATATATTAAGAAATTCTACTGTATAAGTTTATATTATACGATAGTCACATCAAATAACTAAAACTATCATAACGTATAGTATAGTTTATGCTATCAGGTTTAATACCTCACTCACACCAAACACGCCATAAAGTGAAATCTAATTGCTAATTTAACAAATTGATTTATTCATATCAACATTATTTTACTCGAGGATAGAGTATACTTATTATCAATTATCCTTTTAAAAAGCATATAATTTTTATTTTTCAATACAAAAATTATAGTAAATTTCAATTTTTTATAAGCAACACCCAATCATTCAAAGTATCAATTAAAATAGTAATCAATAATTATGGGAAGAAATATATTTAAGTTGTGCCATACTTTACTTTAATATTAATTTATTCTTAATAATCTCATTTTTTTTAAATATACATTGACCAAAAAATATTCCAATAATTTTATATGAAAATTGTAATATTTATAAAAAAGACTTCTTTCTATCTTCGCTATATCTTACGGGACTAATCTAATAGGACCATTTCCTCCAACTTTATTATTTCCCTCGGTGCTTCACTCCCTGATCAGTCGGTCACGGCTCAGGTTATACAGCGATCGTTTTCCTTGCCGTAAGAAGCCGTTGTTACCGGTTACCGTGCGCCCTTCTCTCTCTCTCTCTCTCTCTCTCTCTCTCTCTCTCTCTCTCTCTCTCTCCACCGCATAGCGCAGGTGCGACATACCCTCTAATTCAGCATCTTAATATATGTAATATATATGCTCAACTTTCAATTTATATATATCTTATTTGCAAGAGTGTGTGTAGGTTTTTTTCTATCGTTTTTCTTCTTTAACTTGTGGTTCCTCACTTCCTATAATACAATACTGCTGCTTCTTCTTCAATTAGGATTTGGATTTTCATTGGAACACGAGCCTTTTAACTTTCTCATGATGGAGGAATTGAAAGCGATGGCATAAAGGAATTATTCGAAGATTCTGTTGGAAAACCTAGGGTTTCACAATGGATGGAGATGATATGAGGTCTGGAACCAAGAGGAAGAGATCCAAACCTGTGGAATTTGGTTTTCATTCAGATGATGATGAACCCATTGGGTCTATGTTTAAGCTAAAGAGGTCAAAGAAGAAGGTTGTTTTGACATCTGAGGGGTCTTGTGGTGATGATACTATAAGGAAAAAAGAGGATTTGGTGGGCATGGATGATACCTTGGCTTGCTTTAGGAAGAGATTGAAGGGTCCTAAGAGAGATCATGGATCTGGAGCCACCCAAGGAAGAAAGGTTTCTGTTGAGGGTCATGCTGTTTCTGATGATGATTTGGTTGCTTGTGGATCTCTGAGCACCTCAAAGGATGAGAAAGAGAAGGATTTGTTGCTTGGTGATGGCATGCAGCTGCAGCACTCTTCTGATCAACATATGGAAGACTCCTTGTCCGCGATTTTCGATAAGGCACAATCTAGTTCTATTAGGAAATCTCGTGCCTCTTCGTGTTCAAAGCAGAAAAGAGGGAGTCAGAATGTGGATGGTGGGTTGAGCCCTAGCTCCAAAAGTTTTCCGGAAATTGTAGATTCTGTGGTCGAAAGTAGATCTAGATCTGATTCTGCCTCAATATTGGTTGGGAGAAATCTGAAGTCTGCTGATGGTTTTTCTCAAGCATCTGATCTGTGTCCATTTTCTTCGGTATCTGTAGTGGATAATCAAAAGTGTGGTGATGACTGTTTTCAAGAGGAAACCACCGAGGGCATTTGTGATTCAAAAATTCCAGATGGACCATTAGTTGATCACTCTCGCTCAATCAACTTCTGCGATGGAGATACGCAGCAATTATCTTGTGTACAAGTTGAAGATATTCGTTGTGCTTCTGACCAAAAGGTTGTATTGCAAGAAAGAGTTCCCAATGATTGTTTAAATCAGTGTACTGTAATGTTACATGAAGTGGGTATAATTGATACTGGCTCTCTCTCAAAAGTGGGGGAAGGGGTATTTGGATTTACTGAGGCTGGAAAGTTCAAGAAGAGATTGACTGATGAACTAGCTCAAGTATGTAATGGTGCTTCAGAACATGGGGTTTCTACTTCTACGGGGAAAGAAATTTTCATAACTTCTTGTCACATTGAGCCCTTGATTGAATCGTCTGAAAATATATTGAATGAGAATAATTATATGGTTTCTGAAAAAGTCTTACAGGAATCCTCAAGAAATGGAGCCTTAGAGTTCTCTGGATGCAATGTGGAGGTGGATGGAGGTGTAAAATCAGAAACTGAGTTTGTTTCTGGTAGAAATTGCTGTAATTATAGTAGTTTGGATACAAAGGATGAAGTGCAAGATGTTGTTTTAGGCTGTTCACCTAAAAAAAATGATGTAATTGGTGCTGGTAGTGTATCTTCTATGGTGTCTAATGAAGCCAATGAATCTGAATTAGCGGTCCAGTCAAATCACCTGGAGAAACCTTTAGAAACTTGTAATATTCCAAAAGACTCTGCTGCTTCAATTCTGAAATGCAGCTCGGTGGTAGATCCAATTCAATCTGATGGATCCTCTCTTCAATCTTCAATTCCAGATGAAAATGGGAACTGTGCAGAATATCATGCCTCCGTGTCTGATCTTGCTGAAAATGATGTTAAGATATCAGACATTCCACGTGTGGTGCGAATGGCCAAAATGCGTAAGCATGGAGACATGACTTATGAGGGGGATGCTGATTGGGAGACTCTAATGAATGATCAAGCTCTAAATGAAAATCAAGTTGATGTAGATGGTGACTGTCCTCTTAGAATGAAAGTGAAGCAGGATTCCTCTTTGAATGTTGTTCAAGACTCTGAAAATGTTGCAATAGTAGCAGTATCAGCTGGACTGAAAGCCCATGCAGCTAGTCCAATTGAGAAAATAAAATTTAAGGAGATCCTGAAGCGTAAAGGTGGTCTCAAGGAATTTTTGGATTGCAGGTAGTTAAGCTTTCAAATAGGTCTTTGCATTTGCTTTCAATTGTTGTTTCCAAGTGTTCAGAAAGGTTGCAGTTTTTTTCCCTTTGCAGCACAAAAGTTACTTTGTTCAGTATTTTGGGTTTTTGGTGTCTTGTGCTCCAAACACAGAGAACTGTTTTAGATCCTTTGTGACTGATGATTGAAAATGTTATTTGTTTTTGTTGCTTAAACATGAATATCAAGGCATTGAAGTCTTACGGTATGTTTCCGGTTGCAGATTTACTTGTATAATTGGGCATATGAACAACTTTGTAATTCGTCATTTGAAAAGAAAATGAAGAGAATGGTTAGCACATACATTTGGTTAGATGCCTGTTTGATGGTTCAATTTTTTCTTGCTCTTTGTCCAGTGTCTGTTTCTGAATTTGATATTTTTTAGTGTTATATTGTTCTGGGAAAGGGCCTTCCTCCTGTATTTCCTTGGAACTGGAAATGTTTGAGGTGCCTACTTTCTATAAATTTGGACGAAGTTATCTTTCTTTTCTTTTTGGTTTATTTAGAAATTGATGATTAGTTGTATATTATATGGTTGTGTTCCTTCATGCAATGTTTTATTGCTTATAGGCCGTTGCATTGCCCTCCCTCTCCCACTCCTCTTCTGTTTTCTTTAAAAATTTATTTGCAATAGTTTTTCATAGACAAATTTAAGTTGTCATGAACCAACTTTCTCAAAAGTTTAAGCCGGTGGATGAAGATAAATGAATGATTTTATTATGTTTCTTAACACGCCCCTTCTCTCGAGAATCTTTTTTTGCACTTTAAAGTTTGGATAATACACAGGCTTATTTTTTTTGGTTGCCTTGTGCTTAAATTCAAATTTATTTATTTTATTAGAAGAATGAAGGTGGCAATTATTGAACTCTAGACCACTTTGTTATAGACTTTGACACCATGTCACGAACCCACTCTCCCAAAGCATTAAGTTGTTGGGTGAAAGCACATTAATGGTTTTATTATATCTCTTAACATAAGTAGACTTCTTCATACTATCTTTTTATTTTTTCTACTTTTTAAAATGTTTTGCTGGCAGGACCTGTCAACCATGTATATTTTCTGTTGTGATACATAAGCTGCTATCCTTAATTCAGAAGTTGGCTTTAATGTATAACATGTTGCTTGTCATGCAGTATTATGCTATCATCATCCCTCTATTTTTGCTTCATTAGCTGCTATCTTCTGATTTCTTATTTTAGTGATGAGATTTAGTGTTTTAATTGATTTTGTCCTTTCATCTCTACTTCAAAAATCTGTAAAACAGCCTTAGAAACTTCACTGAGCATATTCCAGCAGCTTCTTAGATGCTATGTTATTTATTACTTATACTGGGATATACTGGATCTTGGGCTTCTGTTTATTTCTAAACTGATTTTAGCTCTAACTTGATGACTTTGTTACACCACCTTTAAACTGGGAAGTCTGTTGTAATAAGTTGTACCTCATTGAATTTAATGCATTGCAGAAATCAGATCTTAAGTCTTTGGAGCAGAGATGTCACACGCATTTTGCCTCTTGCTGAATGTGGAGCTAGTGATACTTGTTCTGAGGATGAAAGTCCTCGTTCTTGTCTTATTAGGGAGGTCTATGCATTTCTGGATCAATGTGTAAGTTTGTCCATCATGTTGTTTAGCTATCAATTTTCATTTCCTCTGCTCTTTTACTACAAGAATATATGGATGTATATGTATTGGGTTTATTAATTTAAAATGATTTTTCTTTCTGCACAAAAAAACCATGTTGGTGTTTATTTTCTGTTAAAATTGGAACCTTAAAATGATAAGATCATTTTGGCAGGGCTATATAAATGTTGGAATTGCCTCTCAGAAGGAGAATGTTGGAAGTAGTGCAAGGCATTGTTATAAACTTGTAAAAGAAAAAGGTTTTGAGGAATGTTCTACAGCTTCGATGGCTGACTCTGAAGATGGAGTTTCCTTTATTGTTGGTCAGACTAAAGTGTCAGATACTTCCATGGAGATTAACAATGGTCTAACAAAGGATAATGAAGGCCTGACATCTGAAGCTACAGAAGGCATGAGGCATGTTAATGAAGCGATGATGGATTTACCAAATACGACACAACATGAAGAAAGAAAAAATTATGATTACCAGGAAAATGGTGGGATTCAGGATGGACTTAGTGGAACTATACATGTCAATATTGACAATTCTGTTCCTTCTTTGAAGTCTCCTAATTGCAGATTGACTTTTCTTGTAGCTACTGAGCAAAGCAATGAATCTACCTATGTTAAATCTGGCTTAGGTGAACCTCTGCATTCTGATCTAGAGGCTAGAAAGAGAGTGATTGTCATTGGAGCTGGTCCTGCTGGGCTAACTGCTGCTCGCCACTTGCAACGTCAGGGATTTCCTGTAACTGTACTCGAGGCTAGGAGTAGGATAGGAGGTCGTGTATTTACAGATCACTCATCTCTTTCTGTCCCTGTAGATCTTGGTGCTAGCATTATCACTGGTGTTGAGGCTGATGTGGCCACCGAGAGAAGACCGGATCCTTCCTCATTGGTTTGTGCTCAGTTGGGCCTTGAGTTGACAGTGTTAAACAGTGATTGCCCTCTCTATGACATAGTGACAGGACAAAAGGTTCCTGCAGATATGGATGAAGCGTTAGAAGCTGAATACAATAGTCTTCTTGATGACATGGAATTGCTTGTTGCTCATAAAGGTGAACAGGCAATGAGAATGTCTCTTGAAGATGGTTTAGAATATGCCCTTAAGATTCGCCGTATGGCACACTCTGGAAATAGTGAAGAAACTGAGCAAAAGAATTCTGCAGATAGTCAATTTGATTGCAAAAAAGACAATAATGTGGAACAAAAATTTGATGAGGATATTTTGAGTCCTCTGGAGAGGAGGGTTATGGATTGGCATTTTGCTCACTTAGAGTATGGTTGTGCTGCTTTGCTTAAGGAAGTTTCTCTTCCCAACTGGAATCAAGATGATGTGTATGGAGGATTTGGGGGAGCTCATTGTATGATTAAAGGGGGTTACAGCACTGTTGTTGAGTCTCTGGGAGAAGGGCTTGCCATTCACTTGAACCATGTTGTAACAAATGTGGCGTATGGTATCAAGGAACCTGGCCAGAGTAATCAAGTCAAAGTTTCTACATTGAATGGCAAAGAGTTCTCTGGAGATGCTGTCCTCGTTACTGTTCCACTTGGCTGTTTGAAGGCTGAAACTATACAATTCTCCCCCCCTTTGCCGCAGTGGAAATATTCTTCTGTTCAGCGTCTTGGTTTTGGAGTTCTCAATAAAGTGATTTTGGAATTTCCTAGTGTGTTTTGGGATGAAGCTGTGGACTACTTTGGGGCAACAGCTGAGGAGAGAAGCAGAAGAGGTCAATGCTTTATGTTCTGGAATATCAAGAAAACGGTTGGGGCTCCTGTCCTTATAGCATTAGTGGTTGGTAAGGCAGCCATAGATGGTCAAAGTTTGAACTCTTCTGATCATGTCAACCATGCATTGAAGGTTCTCCGTAAACTCTTTGGGGATTCTTCAGTTCCTGATCCTGTTGCATATGTTGTGACTGATTGGGGTAGGGATCCCTTTAGCTATGGTGCTTACTCTTACGTTGCAGTTGGAGCATCAGGAGAAGACTATGATATATTAGGGAGGCCAGTTGATAACTGCTTGTTTTTTGCTGGTGAAGCAACCTGCAAAGAGCACCCTGATACCGTTGGTGGTGCAATGATGAGTGGACTACGGGAAGCTGTTCGCATAATTGACATTTTGAGCACTGGAAATGATCATACTGCAGAGGTGGAGGCATTGGAAGCTGCTAGGGGACAGTTAGATACTGAAAGGGATGAAGTTAGGGATATAACAAAGAGACTTAATGCAGTGAAGTTTTCCAATACTTTATTCAAGAACTCTTTAGATGGTGCTCAAATCTTAACCCGAGAAATTTTATTGAGGGAAATGTTCCATAATGCAAAAACCAATGCTGGGCGCTTGCATGTGGCAAAACAATTATTAAGTCTTCCTGTTGGAAACTTGAAGTCCTTTGCTGGAAGTAAAGAAGGGCTAGCCATTCTCAACTCATGGATACTGGTATTATTATATCACTTGACGTGTTATTTCCAAAATAATTTGTATCTTTTTTGATAGTATGCATCCTTTACTAATAAAAAGCTAAACATCTTAATGTCATGGTTATAGAATTTCTTAGATTTTGTGCTTTATAGTTGATTTCTCAACACAGGACTCAATGGGGAAGGATGGTACCCAACTCTTGAGGCACTGTTTGCGTCTTCTTGTGCGTGTTTCGACTGATCTACTTGCTGTACGCTCATCAGGTTGTTATTTTTAGTTTTATTTATTTCTTTTGAGTGTGTGAATGTTAATTAGTCTATGCATGCTAATACGCAAATTTATGTTGGGATTTTTTCCCCCTGTATCTTATCTAATTAATATTTTGAGGAAGAAATATAGTTGGTTAAATGGATGGGACCTGATTGGGTTATATGAGAAATTTTTTTCCAGTACCATTTTATAAGATATGGTTTTAGATTAATGTCAAACCTTGTTTTTGTCCTTTCTTACTATTATCAATTCTTGTCACGTGATCAGCCTACTGAAACTATGAATTATCAAGTGGGAGATATATTTATGCTCCTGTAGATTATTCTGTCCAGATGGAGTCATGTGGAAATATGATGTCTACAGTTTCCCTTGTATTTGTGTTTATCTTTCCTATTGTTGGGTGTAGGAATGGGGAAAACAGTGAAGGAAAAAGTTTGTGTGCATACTAGCCGTGATATTCGTGCAATAGCAAACCAGTTGGTTAATGTATGGCTTGAAGTTTTTCGCAAGGAAAAAGCTTCTAATGGGGGATTGAAGTTGACAAGAAAAACAACTGCTGTAGATTTATCAAAGAGAAAATCTCTAAAAGATTCAGCCTCAGGAAAGCCACCTCTGAGCACTCATCATGGTACCATTGAGAATAAAGGAGGCTTGCTGAATCCTGCATCTGCTGGAAGCAATTCCCCTTCCAGTGCACATGTGAAGAAATTGCACAGCAAACAAGGAAGACAACAAGCAGCATATGACTCAAGGCATGAGGTCAGTTCTTCCAGGTGCCAAGGTTCAATATGCAAAGGAGTTAATGAGGAGGAGGATAACTACTGTGCTATGTCTGAAGAAGAACAAGCTGCTATAGCTGCTGCAGAAGCTGCCCGTGCTAAAGCACTTGCTGCCAGTCTGGTTTGTTTCTACTGGAACTTTAGTTTTGATGTCATGAATCTATGGTGCTTCTGAAAATTAGTTGATGGTCACAAGTTAAATTTCTTGACCACTCTGCTTGTTGGATATATGAATCCCTTATATTCTTTTTTACTGAATTTCACATTATCATGATGAGTTTTTAGGAGCAAACTGTAAAGTGATATTAATGTGGTTGTGCAGGGATAAAAGTCTTGCTGTGATTCAAATTTGCTAGGTTTGAGTGAAATAAACCAGTTTTCCTACCTTACACTGAAATTCATTTTTATTTATTTATTAGAAGAATGAGGATGGCGAAGATCGAACTCTAGACTAATTGGCCATAGAAGCTTTGATACCATGTCATGCAACCAACTCTCCCAAAAGCTTAAGCTGTTGGGTGAAGACATATGAATAATTTGATTATATCTCTTATAGTTGGGAACTTTTCTTTTCATGTATTTTACTAATAAACCTGTTAAGGAATAATATTATATAAAACTAATAAAAGTGCCTTTTTCTAACAGTTTAAGTTTTTGGGTTGGATTGGTTCTTTTATGGTATCAAAGCTTTACGATCTAATGGTCTAGAGTTTGTTTCCTGCTACTCCCATTCTTCTAATAAAAAATTTAATTTCCATGTTTCAAATCCTAAAAAAGGTCTCTTGGTATGGTGGGCTTGTAAATTATCCACGCTTCAATCCTATAAGGCTTCTGGCGTGAGGGGGTATGTTAAGGAATAATATAATATGAAACTAATTAAAGTGCTTCACCTAACAATTTAAGCTTTTGGGTTGAATTGGTTCATTACAAAACCAAACTCCATGAATTGAATTTTTAATTCAGTTCAGCTTGATTATTGAACAAATCATTTTGACCAACTCAGGCACAATTCATTTGTTTCATTAACCTGGCTTGTTTAGAGCCGAGCCTTGAGCGACCTGTGAACCTGCTGATTTATTGCCAGCCCTAATCGTGTAGATATTTACTGGGTATACTGTTGAAGTATGACTTATATGTGGCTTTACTTGATGAAAGTCATGTTGTATGAGTAATTGAAAAATCAGCTTTACATATTATTCTAATTGAGTTACACATTTGCCCCCTGAAATTGGTGTTGTAGACGTTTTTCGTTTCTATCGTGAAAATTTCAAGATGACTATCTCATGCTTTGCTGGTTGATTTTGTTATTGTATTTTTAGCTGTCTCCCTCACTTCTGGTTAATATGTGCAGCCTGAGATCCTTGATGTGTTTTCTGCTGTGGTTTCAACTTTTAAGATCTTTGATCTTCTTTTTGTTCCTTCCTGGTTTGTCTAAACCCCACATTGTTTTCTGGCTCAATGAAGCACAAAACCTTCAAGAGAGGAGCAATGTCCATTTTGCAACTTGTGTGAAACACTTGACGTGGCATGCATGTGACACTTCAACACCTCTATATAGTTACTCTTGGTCGTGGGGACAAGAGTATCTTTATTTTTTTGTTATTTGACACATTTAGGTGCTTACTAAACACGTGTTAAGTATTAATGAAGTAGACATGTATTTATGCCGTTTTTAATCCTATGTCTGATCACTGATGTTTAAAAATTTTAGAAGGGAGAGATTGGCTAGGAGTTTAATATTTATCATGCTGTACTGTGCCCTTGTGTTTTAAATTTTTCCATGTCACTGTGTCACATTGTTAGTGTGCGTGCTTCTCAAATTTGGCTAAAAGAAATTTTGCATTGTTTTCTAAATATGGCTTTCATCATTTTATCTGAGTCATCTTTTCTTCCATCTCAATGTGTTGTACACCCTATTTATGTTTTCTTGGACAGCCCATGCTCTTGCTTGCTGTAATTAGTAAACTTGTTTTTTTGATAGAATTCAGCAGTTGAGTATAAAAATTATGGACAAATCTATGAGCATTTGTGATATAGATTGTTTTCTCAGATGATAGAATAATATGAAAGTGTGGATTTTCCCTGGGCTTTAACTAAATAGAGACATGATTGTTTTGTGGAAATATATTATTTTATCAGAAATGTTCTTTTGCCTTGCAAGTGCTTGAGTGACGCAAAGTATCCAAAGATTATTGTACTGCTCCTTGACAGATCCTATGCTTTCTTTCCCTATTTGGTTACCATGTTCCTTAAAAGATTTGGTGGTTCTTGTTCTTTGCAGGCATATGCCTCTGCTGAAGCCAGGTGCAAACTGTTACAGCTTCCAAAGATACCCTCATTCCACAAATTTGCTAGACGGGAGCAGTATTCACAAAATGACGAGTGTGATAGTAGAAAAAAGTGGTCTGGTGGTGTTTTTGGAAGGCAAGATTGTATTTCGGAGATTGATTCCAGGAATTGCAGAGTTAGAGACTGGTCTGTTGATTTCTCCACTGCTTGTGTTAACCTTGATAATTCCAGAATGCCAGTTGATAACCTCTCACAGAGGAGTCATTCAAATGAGATTGCCAGCCATTTGAATTTCAGAGAGAACTCAGGGGAAAGTGTTGCTGTGGACAGCAGTATGTATACAAAAGCTTGGATTGACACAGATGGTTGTGCGGGAATAAAAGACTATCATGCCATAGAGAGATGGCAATCTCAAGCAGCTGCAGCTGATTCTTTTTTTTCTAATACAACCTTACATTTGAAGGATGAGGAAGATTCAAATGCCTGTTCAAGGTTACCCAGCTGGAAGCGTGATGGTATGGCCAATGAGAGCTCTGTTTCACAGGTTACTGTAAATAAGGACACCTTAAAAAGTCATTCCCGAGGAGCAGATCATATTAAACATGCTGTTATCGACTATGTTGCATCACTACTTATGCCCCTTTATAAGGCAAGGAAACTAGACAAGGATGGATACAAGGCTATAATGAAGAAAAGTGCGACAAAGGTAATTTTCGTTGTTCACTTCTTTGCTTTGCCTTTCTATTTCATATATTAACAAAGAATTTTTGTGATTTGGCAGGTAGGGGGTTATAGGGAATAACTGATCTAGAAAATCATCTTAATTTGGTCTTCTTCCATTTCTTAACTTCCTGTGTTTAAGTTTCAGGTCATGGAGCAAGCCACGGATGCAGAAAAAGCCATGACTGTTCGTGAGTTTCTAGATTTTAAGCGAAAGAACAAGGTACTTTTCTGTTATTTTCCATGTCAAAGGTCTATCTACCAATCCTATTCTCCTAGCAAATGCATTTTTCCAGAATGTGTCATTTTGCTGATGTTGACATGATATACTGCTTGGATGTCAGCTTCTTGGTGGTGGGGTGGGGTTGGCTGCAAAGTTTAATCATTTGAATCTTTTTCTTTTTTTTTTTCTTTTCTTTGGATGCTTAAAACATGCAGATACGCACCTTTGTGGATGTATTGATTGAGAGACACATGACAATGAAACCGGATATGAAATCTTAATGTTCGTTGGATGGAATAGCCTCTACATTGTTGTTGTACTTCTGTGTAAGGGTTGCCGAAGTCTGGTTGTTCTTAAATTCTCACAGTTTTGGTGGCCATGGGTATGTTCTCAGATGATCAGTTGAGCACCTCAATCTGCCAATGTAAGTGATTCAGAAGGTGCAAGTAAAGAAACATAAAACTTGATCGATCCAAATCAAGTGGGCTCTATGGAGATTCCTCCTGCTGGCAACCTTGAACACAGTACTAAATGCTAATGGTGGATTACCAGTAAGCAGGTTCAGTGCAATTTTGAGTTGGTTCTTCCAGGTGATGGGCATCGGCAGGTTTGGAGATGACAACAGATTTCATTCATCTGTGGTTTAATATTTCCTTTCATCGAGGATTATACCTCCGAAGGTTGAAAACTTAGACCCCATTTTTATTAAAGGGGTTTCTAATGGCAAGACATTAATTGACCCTATCGATTTCTTCTATTTGTACAGCTTAGGATTGTTCTAGTGATGACAAGAATACATATCCATTTTCTACATTTTTCTTGTTTGACATAAATTACTAACTTTTTTTTTTCATTCTCCAAATTGGGGAAAGAATTATACCAACTTTTGTAAGATACTTGGTTACTCTATCATTTTCTCCTCCATTTGTGTCTCCCTTACTTTTTGTGTTTGTGGTGAACCAAGTGCGTACTTAAAAAAATTAAATAGAAACATCGCATCTGTAGGAAACGAGCACTTAAATTTAGCTATAATTACGGTTCAAAGGATTGCGCCATGAGATGACCAACAGCCCAAGTCTTTTGAATTGTCGTGTGTAATCCGTAGGCCACTTTCTATCTTGGCCGTTCTCTTGTGCCAAGTTTTGCTTACACTTCTTTCTTTGGTTGCTGGGCTGATAAAGATTATGTCAATCGCTGATGGGAGGTAACAGGTGTTCTGTCCTTTCCCCGTGATTTGATGTTTATTGCAACTCTTACCTTTACAGCCAATTTTCAGGTGCCTTCTGTTTTCTTCATTTTATGTCCTTTCTTTCTAATGCCCCTTATGATTCTATTGCTTTTGTTTCTGTTGCAGACTGTCTTCATGCTAGTGTATATAGTCTTGGATTTGAAAATATCGCTCCAGGGAAATTAAATTCAAATAAGCTGTATCTAGGGGTGAGTACATTTTTCATCGCAGGCAATGATTTCTCTCTCAATCGTTCAAGCTTATGATTTTTCCCTTCATATTGGTTGCAACTATTGTATTAGTTGCAGATAATTTCTTTTGCGATGTTTACCAAATTATATTTTTTGATTTACGTGGGAAATGACCCTAATTTTTAGAGAAGCTATTTCGAACTGCCTTCATACCCCCAATAGAAAGTTATCCTCGTGTTTTTATTTTGGATGCTTGTCTGGTATGCTTTGTACCTGTTGAGATATATAAAATCATTAATGTAACCTCACCCAATAGCTTAAGCTTTTGGGTTGAATTGGTTCTTTACATGGTATCAGAGCTTCGTGTCCCAGGTTCGATCCTTGCCGCCCTCCACTTTCTTTCAAGTGGAATTTTTTTGTTCGCACAGGTAGGTGAGCCTGTGCATTGTCTACCCTTTAAGCCCAGTGGGCTCTCGTGTGAGGGGGCGTGTTGAGATATATAAAATCATTAATGTAGCCTCACCTAATAACTTAAGCTTTTGGGTTGAATTGGTTCTTTACAGTACCATTTGAAACTGCCATTTGACGGGTGCAAGGTTGTATGATTCATATTCAGTTGTTAATTCATATCTTGTTATAACCATTTTGACTTTATGTTATGCTTCTTGTATTCTCATTCGATATAGGTTGGTATTTGGTAATATCATCCCCAAAAAAAGTAAAATAAAAAAAATAAAAAAGATATACAGTAATATGCTTAAATGTTATGATGCAATATCTTCGGAGATGTCCTATGTTGAAATATTATCCTGTCTTCGTATTTATCTTTGTGCTTCTGATGATTATAGATTGAAATGGCATTACCCAATATACCCAGACATATCAGATTATTCTCTTAGGCCTTACTATATGCTTCGTTTTAGATTTTCAACATTTTGTAACGACTGTTTGGCCCCAAGTATAAAGTTTTTGCTTAGTATAGTATAATAGTGCCGCGTAACTTGTGCTTTCTCCATTTAGCATGGATGAATCTCGACCATGTTACCAGTCATTTGTTTCCAGGTCGATTGCAAACTCTGACTTCAACCTAAGTTGAAATCAACTTTAAATATACAGTTATATTGGCCAATGATATATAAGTGCAGGTTGTCGCTTCTTGAAACCTACACTTAAAAGTAAAAGCTTCGTTCAAAAAATGCTATGGATGAAACTGGCAGTCTTACCCTTGTGCTTAGAGTTAATCATGCATCACTGTAAGTGAAGTGACGCCTCCTATTTATTTCATTATTTATATTGGTCATGCTCTTTGATTTTTTAATTAAGCTAGCCCCCACACCCGTAATTGGTTTTAACTTGAGATGCGTCTAATTTTAAAAATAAATGTTTTGATTCTGAATGACATCATTAACATCTTTCGGAGCTAATAATTACAAGAGCTAGAGGTGGCAGTTATGTTTTCTTCCACCCTTTTCGAGAAAAAAAGAAGAAAATATAGGACATGATATAAAAGGTTAGTATGAAATTTTTATCGCAATGTATGTATGTTTTGTTAGGTGTACTATTCGAAACTTATCCAATTGTATGATTAAATGATTCAATTTTTCAATAACAGCTATCTTTCTATATATTTTTTTAACTGACAAATATTTCTCCAGTTACTGCAGATAATAAGTTATTTGTATTTATTTTCAAAACGATGTTGTTTTGGAATTGAAAGATTAAAAAATTATAATTAATTGAGGAGAGATATTCTCACTACCAAAATTTTTCACTGCCAACTTATTACCTATCTAATCACCATTAGATTAACATTTTCTCTCTCTTCAAATTTTTTTTAACATTCTCTCTCTTTGATCTAATGGTGATGTGATGGATAGTAAGTTAGTAGTGAGAATTTTTGGTAGTTAGAATATTTCTACTCTAATTATAAAGACTAATAATCTTGAAATAAATTAAAATTATAAAAATATCACGATTTTTGCTCCAAAATAACATCGTATTGGACTTACTGTAAATAACTTATCTACAGTGACAGTGAATCTTTTTTAAATGGAAAATAAAAGTTTTATATTTTACGTAAGGGCTTCAGCGATGGTAGAAGAAATTTTTTTGCAACTGACTCAAGAAAATTGGGTCCCACTATTTTTAGGAAAAAAAAACAGAAATGGCTCGTTTTTTTAATGTGAGTAGGAGATGATGACGATTTTCGCAATGATAGAAGAAGTTTTTTAGCCTTTACGTAATTAATAAATTAGAATAGTTAGGTATAAATGATTAACATTAAAAAAATTGATCATATAACTTATATTTTTTATTGTTTTCTTCATTTTAAAGAAACTAAATAAAAGTTTAACTTAATGTTAACTACGGGTAATACTATGTGGCTATCCTTCAGTGGAATCAAATAAAGATTAACTTCTTGTTAAATACTGGCTGGTACCACACTATATGATTATTTTTCTGCAAAAGTACTTGATGAGAGGTGCTGACGCTATAAAAGTTAATTGTTTACATTTAGATGTAAATTACGGAAATACCAGATTTTAGTGAAATTTTATTAGTATATCACTTGAATTAGAAGGATTTTAAATTTAAATCAATTAATGTTATATTAGTTTTAAATAAATAATATTTAACGGCTCTAAACTCATTTTAACAGATGCTGAAATATGTTCACATTCAACGTGTTAATAAATTTAATTTTGTTTCATTATTATGAAAGTAAAATTTTGTTTGTATAATCTTTCAATTACATGTTCATACATAGCTTTAAAAGTTCAGTCTCATGTTATTGATGTAATCAAACTCTATTAATGTTTTGACAATACATAATTATACAATAGAGTGAATAGACAATGAATCCTGCAATAAGCAATTTTTCACTTTAAGCATAGAAACAAAACTGTAGAAAAAGAATTGAAATTTTTAACCTTGACAAAGTCATTGGAAAACATCCCTCTCCTTTTGTATTTGCAGAGTTAACCAAATAAAATTAAAACAAATACTTCATTCACAGGGAAAAGAGTAAAAAAAAAATTACAAAACTCCTTAAACATATTGGTAATATTTTTATGGAAAAAATATTTGTCATTTTAAATGATACAATTTTGTATCATTTTTAATTAAATTACATCATTTTGGTGTGTTTTTGATATTTTTTTCACATTTTTTGTATAAAATCATAAAAAAAAAATGGAGGAGAGAGAACATAAAAACACAACAAAACGACGTAATTTCATTAAAATTGATACAAAGTTATGCCATTTAAAATAACAAACAATTTTCCTTATTTTTATTTATTCCAACTGATCAACTTAAGAGGAAAGTGTTTGTCATTTTAAATAACATAACTTTATATCATTTTTAATGAAATTACTTCATTTTGGTGTATTTTTGTATTTTCTCCTCTTCACTTTTTTTTCCTTCGTAGTTTTATAAAAAAGTAAAAAATGTAAAAAAGTACTAAAAATACACTAAAACGATGTAATTTCATTAAAAAAGACTAAAAGTTTGAATAATTTAAAATGATAAATACTTTTTCCATTAATTTAAAATGACTCAAAGGTTATACTTACAACATATTTTTGTTTACAATCTCTTATAATCATATCTTAACCGTTGATTTCCGTCAATCTAATGGTTATAATTTATTTGATGACATTAATTAATTATTAATTTTTAAAAAATTATAACCGTAAGATTGACAGAAATCAATTGTTAAAATGTAATTATAATAGATTATAAATAAAAATAAATGGTAAGTGTATCATTTTTCGTTTAACAATACATAATTAATTTTTCCGGTGTCATTACTTGGAGTATTTGTTTAACAATACATAATAACAGTACAAATTCATAATAATTTAGGAAAAAGAAACGCGCATTTAAGATCATTACTTGGAGTATTTGTTTCTTTAAAAAAGGAAAGAAAATAAGATTTGATGGCAATAGACGTGCGTCATTGCCCGCGTAAGCTGTTCGAGAATTCTCTCATCTTCTCCCCTCTAATAAAATTGTTCTTCCAAGTTCCTACTTCGCATTTCTTCTTTTCTGGTTGGTAATAACAGTCAAAACACAAGTCCACCGTTCTGTACTTTTCTGCTTTGCGCTTCTAATCGTTTCCAATTCGTCATTACACAGACACAGTTAGGTTAGTTAGTTAGTTAGATAGTTGGTTAATCTTATGAACACAATCCGATCCCGTTGGTTGTCGAGAATGGCAGAAGATATTGGCAAAAACAACAACCTCGAATCCTCTGCCGCAACACGACGTCGTTTTTGGCCTTCTGTTCTGCGTTGGATCCCCACTTCCACGGATCACATCATCAACGCCGAGAAGCGCCTTCTTTCTCTTGTCAAGTATGCTATCCAATTCACAAACCCTAATTTGTGCGATTGCTATTAATATATATTAAACTGTTTGTTTTCAACTTGAATCGTCATTTGGTGATGAAACGCCGCGTTTTACGATTGTTTTGCAGGACTCCGTTTGTTCAAGAACAGGTTAATATAGGGTCCGGTCCACCGGAATCCAGAGTTAGATGGTTCCGTTCATCGAGCAATGAGCCACGCTTTATTAACACTGTTACGTTTGAGAGTAAAGATGATGATTCTCCTACGCTGGTAATGGTTCATGGATATGCAGCGGCACAGGGTTTCTTTTTTCGCAATTTTGATGCTCTCGCAAGTCGTTTCAGAGTCATTGCTATTGATCAACTTGGGTAAACTTTGATTCTCTTCATCCAAATGTTTTGTACTTGTTTCCTAAAATTATAAATAAGTGGGACTCATATGTCATTAACCATAAAGGAAGTGAGTAGAATAAATGCAGTTATGTGGATTACTAATGCGTTGAGTCTTCAATGCTACAGGAGTACAAGAAAATTTTCAAAGTTAACTGTGTCCGCCTGTTATAGTTTAAGGATCAATTTTACGGGAGGACTAAATTTTTTTTTTCCTAATTGTGGCCCCTGTGTGTTCTGTACTCACTCTTTTTCTTGAAACTTTTTTTTTGTTGCAGTTGGGGTGGATCTAGCAGGCCTGATTTTACATGCAAAAGCACTGAAGGTCAATGCTAGAGTTAATTTTGGAACTGGGAAAGTTTTATCTTGTTGCTTGACTTGATAGTATCGGTGGCAAAATACTAAATTTCTTGTTGATAGTACAGAAACTGAGGCATGGTTCATTGATTCTCTTGAGGAATGGAGGAAGGCCAAAAACCTGAGCAATTTTATACTACTTGGGCATTCTTTTGGTGGTTATGTTGCTTCCAAATATGCGCTTAAGGTGAATCACTTTCTATATTGCATTAAAATGACTTGTTTGGTTTTCTTTTAATTAATGGTTGTTCTTCTTAATTTTTATGTATAGCACCCTGAGCATGTACAGCACTTGATTCTGGTGGGATCTGCTGGATTTTCTCCGGAATCAGAGAGGATTACAAAGTTCTTATCAACATGGAAAGGTTCGATTCTGAACCGTATATGGGAATCTAATTTTACACCACAGAAAGTTATAAGGTAAAAACTACCCTGTCCCTGTTTTTTCTATCCTCTTTTTATTTATAATTTAGCATTTTTGTAAATGACTGTTTAGGTTGCCTTGAGATGGCTGCATTTTTCTGAAACTATGGTATGGTGAAGGAGACATCAGAAAATAAAAAACTATTCCATTATTATTTCAGTTCTTTTGCCAGCGTTGGTGTATCACATGCAAGTGTATAATCTCAAAATGATTAAAAACACTCCCCATTAAACCCCGACTAGCGAGGGTAGGGGTGAAGACAATCCATGTACGCACCTTACCCTTGCATATTTGCAAAGAAGCTGTTTCCTGGATTCTAACCCATGACCTTTCAATCACAAAAAGAGCAGCTTTACCACTGCACTAGGCTCTCCCTCTTGTATAATCTCCAAATGATTGGGATCCAAAATTTTGTTTGATTAATGTGTCTAATTATTGGATTATAATATTGTGGTGGCAACTAGATGCATACACACCCAAATCTCAAAATCTTTCAAATAAGTTGTCATTGAAATGAAAGTTCGTATCTGATGATAATATACAGAATGCATTTCTACACGTTTTTACTTCTGATTCACTTCCTTTAATATCTATTATAATGGTATCGTTACTGAAGTAGGCAAGTATATTGACTTAAATTCATATTGTATCTTCATTGAACGATGGGTGCTATATATTATTCTTAAGTCATCAGTCATGGATGGAATCATTTTGGATAAAACTTTTTAGTTCAATCTAGTTACTGGTGTATGGATTCTGCTGTTGGGGTTGCAACTTGCAAACCATTGCATCGGTAATATTCCTATCAAATATGTTGGGTGGTATGTTGTACTAAGAAGGGTTCTAATTCCTGATTACTTGAAAAAGTAAAGCATGCTTTTCCTTTCTTTTCTTTTTTTCTTTTTTTTGCTGCACCAAACATTCTTTTTGTTGTCAACAATATGGGTTAATGATTTACTTAGCTATTTTTATGATATTATTGTTTTTTTATACGTTAAACATTTGTTCATATAAAATTATCTGTTTGATATTTTTCCGCATATGTTTGCTGCAGAGGTCTAGGTCCTTTGGGTCCTGATATAGTCCACAGGTATACAAGTGCTAGGTTTGTTACACTTACAACTGGGGAAAGGCTGACAGAATCTGAATCGAGATTACTGACAGGTATGGTGAGATAACCCCTTGTCATGTGTTTTATCTGTAAGAGTATATTTCTAATTTTTGTCCTTTTGGTCTTGAAGATTATGTTTACCATACTTTAGCAGCCAAAGCTAGTGGCGAGCTGTGCTTAAAACATATTTTTTCATTTGGAGCATTGGCGAGGTTGCCCCTTCTTCACAGGTTTGGTGATCATCATCTTGCTCTTGATTATTGAATTAACAATTCATTTGTGCACTTCTACATCAAAATACGATTTGTCTTCAACTGATCCATTGCTATTAGTAAAACAAAAATGTTATTCAGATTTCAGATGATAGTTACTTCTAGAGTATAATAATCTTGTGTAAAATTTGTTTTTTTTATTAATTTATGAGGAAGGTTATACTTACAACCTATTTTTATTTACAACCTCTTACAATCATATCTTAACCGTTGATTTTCGTCAATCAACGGTTATCATTTATTCCGAATTAATAATTAATTAATAAATTTGATTTGCGAAAATAATAACCGTTGATTGGTAGAAATCAACGGTTAAGATATAGTTGTAAGAGTTTGTAAACGAATTGTAAGTATAGCTTTCTTCTTAATTTATTTATGAAACAAAATTAGTGTCAGCTTCTTCGGACATGCTGTTTTGGTTAAAAAGTACTTGTTTGGTATCCAATCCTGAAGCCAGCTTGTTCCAAGAATGTATGGAACTCCTGCTGGGAAATGTTTTGGAGACCTTGATGATGCTTGTTTTGAATGTGAGAGAAAAGAGTGAAGATTGTAACATAATTCCAGCAGTATGTATGTCATGAACTACCCATTGGATTTGTAGTTCGTTGCTAATTGCTGGCTGAGATGAAAATTGAAGCTTGGGCAACATTCATCCTACTTCAGTTCATATCAATGTTCTTTTTGAAGTCAGTATTTGTGGCTTGATTTAATACTTTGTATTCTACTGGGTTTATCAGCCAAGAAATTTTCTCCTGCCGTGCCATGGCTGTGGGCTTTATGTTGGTTCAAATATCCACTCCTCTTTTACTTGGGGTACTACGTGTACTCTTGATATTTTAACCTCCATTTGTCTTCCTTGTTTTTAACAGTTCCTCACAGTGGAAGGTGCCCACCACTTTCATATATGGTTTCCAAGACTGGATGAATTATGAAGGGGCCCAAGAAGCTCGCAAGCATATGAAGGTTCCATGTGAAATTATTAGGGTTCCGCAGGTATCACTTTCTCCATTTCCCTAAACAGTGAAGCCACTTCAATATTATTTGAACTAACAAACTTCATTACTTGTTGAAGGCCGGGCACTTTGTGTTCATTGACAACCCAACTGGCTTCCATTCAGCTGTGTTTTATGCTTGTCGAAGATTTCTTAGGCCTGATCCCGACACTGAATCCCTTCCTGAAGGGCTGACCTCTGCATAGAAAATAATTTTGTGCAGTGCTGTCTATATATATATATTTTTTCAAAAAATTACAAATTAAATTCCATAATTTAATCAAGCTTTGTTCTAGTCTTAATTGAATATATGTTGTCGGAGCAATTCAAAGAAAAACAATGTGTAATATAAGTTTGATAACTGAAACATGTGCTGAATAAACCTGTTATTAGGTTATTTATTTTTGTAACATCAATGAAAATTTAGGATCAACTGTAATATAAACAGAATTCTTTAAACCTTTTATCCCGATTCTTTCTATTCTATGACATGCTCCATCATTTTAGTTAGGGGTTGAATCAAGAAATTGGTGTCCAAATTTGTGATTTGCGCTAAAAAGTAAAAATGATCATTTTAATGGTTGGTTGATGATCTCTGACTGAAATTTAATACATGATATGATTATATTAAAAAAGCACATGAGAGGATTTAGATTTATTTTATTAACAAAATAATATAAAAATAATTATCTTGGAAAAGTGATAAGTTTTTTGATGTACAAAAATATTAGGTACCTATTTCTTTCCTGCACTTTTTACCTTCACTTGCCAACACCCGAAAAGCACGTGGACTCCACTGAAGTTAAATTTGACAAGGACATATCTTTGCTGGCCAACGAAGCTGGGTCTGCTAATTGCATAATTGTCGCATTCATTTTTATTTTTTTTCGGTGGGGGTGGGGTTTATTAAATTAAATTAGACTCTGGGTCTCTTCTACGGTAAAGTTTTAAGCACTAAAGCACAAATGACATTAACATAGGAAAATGGATGTGAAAAAAAGAAAGATAAAATTATGTGGAAAGATTACAATTATAGAAAGGTAAATCAATATTTATGATTTTGTAACTACCTATTATATATAAATCCATATATATATATATATATATATATATATATATATATATATATATATATATATATAGGTAGGATCCTTTGACACCAGTGTCAAATTTCAAATTTAACACCTAATCTGATAGCCGTTAGATTAATAAAGATCAATATTGTCACATGCTTGCAAATCAGAATCGTTGATCTTTTTTTATCTAACGGCTCTCAGATGAGGTGTCAAATTTGAAATTTAACACTGGTGTCAAAGGATCCTACCTCATATATATATATATATATATATATATATATATATATATATATATATGAGTTAATATTTCTGCAGCTGCTGTACATACAACAATCAAATACTTGCCATATATATACTTGAAAGCATTAAATGCGGGGAATCATAACCATACAAAGGATGAAAACATTAAATGTGGTGAATCATCACTAGGGGTGAAAGTGGGTTGGGTTGGGCCAAACTTTGCCCTGAAAAGCCCAAGTCTACGTCAAAAATTTTCAATTTGGCCTGGCCCAAGCCTAGTACGAGTCTAACTGTTAGCCTGACTTGGTCCGTTTATAAAAAAACAAATGGCCTGGCCTAGCCCGTTAGCATGTTAATTTTTAACCTCCAAGCAGAACCATGAATCAACTTTACAAAATACTCAAATTTTGTTGCTAAACCAAAAATCATAATTTCAACGTCCAAACAAAATCATGAATCACAACAAAACTCCTACAATCTGCATTGAAGTCAATTTCAAAAGCAAAATGCTCAAACTAAATAACATATATTTCATCAGATCCAACAAACAAATCTATACTATGTAAATTAAAATAACTACGTGAATCCAACAAACACATCATGATGCTTGTAATAAGTATAACATCTCCCAAAAACCTTTTAATATATTCATATACACAATCTAACATGCTGAGATGTTGGTTTCTCTTACATAAGTTATAAATAATTGCAATTGATAATATATATATTTTGTTTTTTCTTCAAGCCATACTTATTCTATTTTATTTTATTTAAAATAAATAATACAATATAAACCGGCCTGTAGGCCTATAGGCCAGACTTTGTGAAAGTGAGCCTACGACCTTTATATTAAACAAGCTTTTTCAAGGCCCAAGTCTGACCTATTTTACGAAATATAATAGGTCGGGCCTGACTTGACGTAGGCCAAGCCGTAGGTCCCTGTAGGCCGGCCCGATCCAGTTTCACCCTAATCATAACCATACACCTATCGCTGTATGTAAAGCAGCTGCAGAAATAATTTTAACACACACACACACACACACATACATAGATATATATTCATTTATAATGATCCAGAAGTCACCAAAATTCTGGAGCAATCCACATCCTCAAAGACCTTGAACTTTTCCAAGCACAACTCTATGATCAAAGTCCCCCCGCCCTGCCCCGAGAAAGTAAAGAGAGAGGAAAACAACCTTCTACTTGTAGAAGACATTTCCCTAGAACTAGAATGGAGACAAGTGACAACCCCTTCTTTATCCTCAAAGTCTATAGATTATGCAGAAAATCTCAATTCTTCAAAAAAAACTTTTGAAACTGCAGATCTTAAAGACCAATTAACCATAATCCAAACACCACCTTTTCATTAAAAGAAATATAACCTCACACAGTACCTTCAGTCTAGAAAATTTTTAATGGAACCAATATTATACGAGAATTTGTGGTTAATCTCTCTACTTAACTATATTAACCACACATACTAAAAGAAGTATACACGTAGTTATGAGACACTTCTTAACATAGGTATGGCAGGCTGAGTTACAATCTCTATCTTGGTCACCTCATGATACCTCATAGCCTACAATATTACATTTATTAAGATTATTAGAACTCGGGTATTAAAATAATTTTAAGTAGATATTAGCAATGCAGCCATTTTTATCCTTCCTTCACCATTAGCTAAATCTTATTTAACAGATATGATTTAGAATCTTTTCTTACATAGTTAGGTTTTAATTCTGAAAATAACGTGCTTACTTACTTGAGGGTTGACAACTTATGTAGGATGGTTTTCATAAAAGAATTAAGGCTACACCCGCTAAAACACAAAATCTTTCCCTTAAGAATGACAAATATCTAATACTTAAACCTATGGACAAAAATTGACTATATTTTCAAAATAGTCACAATTCTACAATATCTCTCTAAGTCTAGGCATGAATTGTTAATTACTTATCACTTAAGGTATGTAGGGGTTTAAAACTTTCACAATTCTACTCGGATAAGCGATACTATTTACTTGATTGTCATAGTAGTAATGGTAGTTGAAATTTCAACTTAGAATTTATACTACATGCAAATGCCTATTATTTCAGAAGTATTTATAATATGACAAAAGGTAAGTAAAACTACAGTGATAAATTTACACTATAGACACATTATAGCACTTATTTAGCAGGACAAATTAGAAGACAATGATATTGCTACAACATGTTTGTACCAATAGTATTCTGTTATAGCAATAGACTTATATTTCTATTACAGAATTCAAATTTTGTAAGAGTAATAGTGTTCAAATCCAAATGTAAACTACTTATGTGAATACGATGTTATACAATATTAAAAGCAAACTAAAACAGAACTGAATTTTAATTTTATTCCAAATTGATGCAAGACTAATTTAAAAGCAATTGACTTCACAAGAATCAACCTTTATTTTTTTTCTACTGGAATAATGTGCTTATCAAAAAAATATCAAAACAGATCAGAAGGTTATTTTTATATAGAACCATACTAAAGCAAGTTTAGATATAAACAATTTAGTGTAACAAAGACAATGGCCAAGTTAGATATCAAGGATATATTTCAAGGCACAAATGCAGGTCTAATCATAAAAATTACAGCAATGTTCCACTATTAACCATAAATTAAAAATATTAAGGAAGAGAAAAGAACATGCGTGATTTATCCTGGTTTAAACTGAAGTACCTATTGATATTTTTATTGACTTAAGAAATAGTATTATACAAGCATGTTTCTCACACATAATCAATCAAAATATCCAAACTATCTTAATGCCAAAAAAACTCCAAGTTCCAAGAATTTTCTCAAGTCGAACCTAGGAGTTTACCAACTCCTCACACACAAGAACTCACACTCCCTAGTATATTCTTAAGGCTCCAAGCCTTGAGAAACACTTTCAAATCGAGCAAATGGTCACCAACCCTCTTGGTTGGATCCATTCACACACCTAAGATCAGTCACACACATTTGCACTTGAAGTAATCATCAATACACTGTTTAGTTCTTCAAACGAAAATATATTTTCAACAATACATTGTCCTATCACAAATTTATATTACCAAATATAAACCAAGCTCCAACAAATATGATGAACGCATGAACACAAATTATCACAAGTGAATTTCAAAGAAACCCCAAATCCCTTTATAAAAGAAAAAGAACCTGGACAGATCACAATCGAGGCACTAACGCTTGATGTTTTATGCATTTCCGCATAATTTTTTTTCTCGGCTTTCTTCAAGAAAAGATGTGTAACCACGAATGATGATTCAAATACAATATACCTCAAGAAATTGAAACTCTAGAAAAGAGGATTCGAAGAGCACGAGTTCAAAGTGATTGCTAAGCATTTCTAACTCTGGAAATTTTTTGATTTAAGAACCGAAATCTTGCATTGTTGAAGCACTTGAAGAATCAAAAAATAGGGTGTATTTCTTCTATTTTTGTTGATGTACGAAGAAGTAATTGATAGAGGAAGAAAATTAAGTTGAGTTTTGAAAAGCAAAAGTTACTTTCTAAAAAGGTGACATACATTTATAAAGTAGCTTTATGGTTGTAATAAGGTGGAGGCACATTCATATTAAAATATTGCACCCTTTTCTTGTGACAAATTGTTCATCAATCATATGTTGATTAAGTGATGGTCATATGATATCTCCATAGATTTACCCACATTCTAATTTAGCTTAAAATTGAATTAGTTCAATATTTTTTTAACTAATTCAATTATGTGAAACTATAATTTTACCCTTAATATAGATATAATGCTAGAAGCACCCTTAGCTCTTAAGGAGAATTATTTTTAATGTAAGGTTTATGAAATGCATTGGATGATAATTTGGGATATAAAAGGGTGTATAAATTTTCTAAACTATTTGAGACTTCTTGCAAACCCTTTGACATCACAGAAAGATGTATTACATGATGCTTAGGAGATCTTCAATCTCTTTTTTTTTGATAATGACAACTTAAACTCAAATTGAGACAAGTAAGGGTTAGTAACAAAAGATATTAAAGTAGTTTAATCACATACTCCCCTCAAATATATGCATGCCCAAAAGGATGATTCTAATTTAGAGTACATCATA